ATTTGGTCTTCCTTCTTATACTTCTTTGCCTTTTGATTCCTTTTCTTTGCATCAATATTAATTTTTTAGGTTTATTTCTATATACATATACAAAAAAAAAAATTAACATTGTTAAAATACTCCTATAAAAAAATCAGAATGTTACTAATGTTATATTGAGTTAAACTTTTGTAAATCAATATCAATCTAATTTCTATTTAATTTTTATATTTGAAATATCTTAAAATATTATATTTTATTTTTTCAATAGTATAAATTATTGATTAATTATGTGAGATTCTATTTGTATTTTATTAAGGTATTAGTAATTTATTAAATTTTTTATTTATATAAATATTTTTAAAATAACTTACAATACAATCCAACATTTTAAAATATTTAATTTGATATTTTAAATAAAAATATAATAACATAAATTAAATTGATATAATTCATATATATAATATATATGATTATGTCTTATGCTTGACAATGTAGCTATCCTATAATAATTGTAAAAATTGTTATATGGTAAGAAAGTTTTTTCTTTTTATAACTACATGTAATGTTTTTCAATTATAAACTTTTAAATAGTTTTATATTAAAAAACACTATGTAGCTAGTCCAATATATTAGTAGAATATATATATATATATATATATATATATATATATATATATATTTTAAAATCATACTCCAAAGAAATTATATTTATTTTTAAAATTATATTAAATATTAAAATAACCAATTACATTAAAATCAAGTAATAGATATAAATACTATAATTTTTTTATTAAATAATTAATAAAATTAGTGATGATGTATAATATTGCTAAAACAATATTTTAAAAAATCATATAGATGATGCACGATTCTCTTTGATTGAAATAAGTAAATTTAGGCATAAAAAATAAATTAATTTATCTTGCTTAAACGTGTGTTTGCTAGAATATTTTATGCTACTATATCCAGTATATTAATATTATCACGCAATTTTTATTCCACTTTTGGTCAATGAGCATGGAAGTATAAACATGTTGATTGTTAATGTTTTAATAAGCATCTTATCATTTACTTAATGACTAGAGTTTTGACATTTTTTCTAATTATTTTTTTGATAGATGCCAATATTTTTAAATAATTATTAAAAAAATATAATTCACTTTAGATAATCTTTTCAAAACCAGGATTGAATTCGCATCTTTACTTAAACACATATTTGTGATATTTTAAGTTTGAAATTCATTTAAAATTTAAAATATAAAAATGACATATATTTTTTGGAATTATAAATAAATCCATTTGATTTAGATATTTCATAGCATAAGGTTATCTTTGCTAAATAGAATGCATTGTTCCCTGAAAAGAAGTAAGATTTTCAATAAAATGTTTTGTACAGAGTTTGATTTACTGCCCTTTGAGAGATAGAACAAACACTTTTAAAGGCAAAAGTTGTGGGGACTTGATTTATTGCTTGACATTTAGTGCTTGCCATTTATAGAAATTTTGTAGTAAAAATAGCCTTTCACAAATAAATACATTTCTTTGCCACATGTTGCAACTAAAAAATACCACAAACATCACATGTATTCATTGTAGTAATATTAAAAAGGATGTGGCCAGATATGTCCTACTACCATTTCTCTCTACTTTTTTACTTCTTATCTATATATATATATATATATATATATATATATAGTAATTCATTTTCTTAATGTGAATAAGAAACTTGTGAGTGTTTCATGCAGCTAGTTCAGCAGGCAATTTGCAACTAAGTGCCAGGTCACCTCCCAAGACCAAGCAAATCATCCCATGTCATTACTGAGATGGCACCCTGGAATTAGGGTTTAGGGCATGAAGGGGCCTTGGAATGGGGCATGCAAACTGAGCTGAAGGTCAGCACATACATTACTTACTGACTTACTTACTTACTTACTTACTTACTTGCAGTCCATCTGAAACCCTATCTCCATTTTGTGTGAGTGTGAGTGTGTGTGGAAAAGCTTGCATGGGTCATCCATCAATCCCTCCTCAGGCCCCTGGGGGAACTTATGAGGGAAAGGCTGTGCTCCTGCATGGCTTCAATAATGGGGACAGAATTAGGAGTTGGAAATTGACATTGAGATTGGATTTGATTTTGTTGCTGCTGCTGTTGATGCCCCTCTTTCCCACCACCCTTTTTTTTTGGGTAGAGAGTACCCCCCCCCCCCCACCAAGACTTACACACAAACTCCTTTGGGGGGCGTTTTGTCCTTTGCAAGGCCCAATATAGAGAATTGAGCTGCTGCTGCTGCTTCTATGTACTTGCTACACCCTGTGTGTATTCATTCATCCACACATCCATTTTGGCATTCATTCAGGTTCATTCATCTGCCCCACAGCATCACTTTGCTGGGATGTTCCCAGCCAGGAATAAACAAAACATTCACACATGTGCATGTTACCAATATTAGCCTGTGGGAGATAGATAGTTAGAATAGAATAGTAGTTGTCGTCTTGCCCACCCCAGCTTCTGACAATGCAGGAGCCCATTTGTGGCTCACTTTCTGTGAATTACATATACAGTCACACATATGTTTCATGCAGATAGATAGGATTGGTTCACAATGATGGAGGAGTCTGTACATGTACCCAAGTTCCCAATTGTGAGACCAAAGGCCGTTTCAAAAGGAGCCCCCCCATGCCTCCTCTTCCCTTCTTCCTCCTTTGCTCCATGACTTCTCATTATACTTTTATCATTCATCCATCATCATTCATCATCCATCATGCATGCAAGCCCTGCAGCCAGCATCAGATTGGTTCAGTGTTGGGGTTGCCTCCCCTACACACAATTGAATTGGTAGAGTGGAGTGATAGGTGAACACACTTCCTTGCTTGTGCCCCCCCCCCCCTTTGGCCCTTTGCCTTTGCCTTCCCACCTTCCATGACTTATTTGATTCTGTGATCATCATCAGACGTGCTCTGGCTTTCATCTCAAGAGCACCGAAGATCGGGTACTTAGGGAGTGAGGGGGGGAATTGGAAAAATGAAAAATGCTCAGGTTTTCAAAAGGTAAAGGTGGATTGAGGCCATGCGTGTGGTACCACGTGATAAGATAATCACTGAATGTATCAATTGGGTAGTTCTCTTGGTAACCTCAGCTCCCTCATAACAAAATGAACAGGGATATTCTAACTTGGAAAATGATTTCTTTTTCATTGCATTGATGTCCCTGCTATTAGGAATTCCAATGCTGAGTTTTGTTGTGTGAATTGGATCCACTACATGTTTGAGTCTAAGTTGTAATTGGTTCTTGAATTTTTGTTCTTTGTTAGCTCAATTGGTAGACAAGTTTGGTGGATTGTGGTTTTTTTTACTAGCAAAGGTTGCTTTGTCTTTTGAAGATGAGGAGAAATGATTTGTGAAAATGAATCCCTAAAATTCCTGAAAACAATTATGTTTTACGTCAATTGGAGTAAATCTATATATATATATATATATATATATAGATATTTTCATGAATATACTATCTGAAATATAAAATATAAAATATTTTTATTTTATTAAGATGTATGTCTGTATTTATGTATTTTTAAATATGATAAAAATCATATTACGTAAAGAATATCATAATATGATATATGAATATTTATTTATTTATGTCTTTATTTGAATGTGTTTATATTTAAAAGGTAAAATTCAATATCAAATCAACATACATTGTAAATTTAAAATCATAAACATCATCATGCAACTTGTGATAATAAAACCGTGTTATTTAAACAATAAAATTTTAATGCATGTCAAGAACTGTTATAAATGTAAAGTAAAATTAACTAAAACAAATTCGGCCAATTATTCCTTGAAATATAAAAATAAAAGGAGAAATCACAATAATTTAAGAATTCCAAATCCGCTAACATCAAGCATTTGTTAATTAGTATTCTAGTTTATTGACAAATCACTCCAATCACTAATAATCTTAACCCAATTGCTTTAAGTAATATTGCACTTTTATGTAGCCGCATAGGTCCGTTGCTACTACCTCGATGTTCTTCTTAATGAAAAAACTGCATAGATTGCTATGGTAATATTATATTCTGGATTTTCGAGTTTTTAATTTTGTTTCTTAGAGAGAAGCTACAAGTACTGAGACTTCAGTCAGGTAAAACCAATTAACAATTTCAATATATCTATATATATATATATATATATATATAACGCAACATATGTATATACGCATATATAAATAGTGGAGAGAAATGAGTGAATCCTTTCAATGCATTTTATCACATCAAAAGATGAAGGTAGTAGGTCAAGAATAATTATGAGGAAGAAAATCTATAATTCCGATCTATCACGGATTGCAATACAACACATGGTTTTGATAAACACAATATTAAAAAGTAATCAGGAAGAAGTTCATTCAAAATGCTGAAAGCTGTCAATACATTATCAAGACAGTCACAAACAATCTCTTCGGTGGTGGAACAAAGTGAGAGTCAAGTTCAACTCAGTAAGGCGTACATGGCTCTTGCATAAAAGAAAAAAGAAAAAAGAAATGAATAAATAAATTCGCACACATAAGTTAATCCTCTTAATTACATCTGATGCTTCTGATATAAAGGATGCAACACTTTGGACAGAGTGACCATGATCAGGTATATTTATAGTTTTTTTCCAAACACGAGAACAAAACGAAACAATTAATCGAATAAAGCCATATTTCTTTTAGTGAAATTGCTGTGAATGCAGTCTGCGTTCCAGGTTTCGAAACGTCTGCCGTCGAACAAGAAAGTGGGCACCAATCTGGGGATTTGTGACGATCCTAGTTTCTATGGTAAAAAATTACGAGGGATGGCAGCTTGAGTAACCTTCCGTGCACGTTAACTTGACAACAGACAAGTGATGATTGGTAATGTACAAAAACCAGGAGGATGGAGCTTCAGGAAATGCGTTGATCGAAAACCAGACTGGGTTTAGAAAATTAATCATTTAAGTTATTTGTTTACTTTATGTCTGATGGTGTTGCTGAGAGAGTGGGGGGAAAGATCGGAAGTCCGACTCTGTGCTCCCTGGTTCAAAGCGTGGAAACAAACAATAGTTTAGCTCATCGTGCACATTTCTGGTCTGAGCTGATCAGGCAGCTATCTTTGCAGTACTGGTTGGAAGTACGCGAGTACTGTAGATTTGAGGCCGCTGTCACAGATAGCTCGACACGCTCCAAAAATTTCTTGCATTTGGTCGCACCCAAGGAGATCTTTAGCCTGAGGTCATGTTGATGATTGTAGGCTCCTTTCCAGTCTTCCGGATCGTGACCGTAAAAGGTTTTTTTGGGGCCGCCATCAAAATTAATGAGACACCGAGGCTGAATCACCAGTAGTCAGACTGCAAGTGCACAAAAGAGGACGGTCTTAGCTGCTGTGTGCAGGAATCTGAAGGGTCAGCACACAACCAGGCTAGCAGAATTTTTGTCTGGATTTGAGTTCCTTCGCAGGGTGCAAGATTGCCCCAAGAACCAAAATTTTCCTGGATGCAGGGCTCAGTGGACCGCATGCATAAAAAGGACTCCCTGTACACAACAAGGAGGCAGTTCACCAGGCAGAGACTCCAACATCAGCTAGCGCATCTGATACCATTCACCCACACACACAAGTTAGTTCTAGATTTAGAGAAGTCCCCACCATCAACCGGTGCGTTGTAGTAATTTGCGACGACACTGGAAACATGGCATCCAGAATCTGGGCTCACCTGATAGTGGCTTTGCTAGGATGCATCCTTGCGTCGTGTTTGCGGGTGTGTTACAGCGATTCCGACAGCCGTCGTAGTCCGATCTCACCCGGCGATCGAAAGTACCTGGAGTCGCTCTCCTTGCAGGGCAAGCTCACGTTCGAGAACACCACAGCCTCGGCAAAGGATTGGGGCCAGCTGCGTCGTGTCACTGCGCCTGCGGTCGTGCTGCACCCAACTTCGGTGGACGATATAGCAACTGTTGTGCGATCTGTGGCGAGGTTAGAGTCTGAGCTCACTGTTGCCGCTCGCGGCCTCGGTAGCTCCACTGGCAGCCAATCGCAGGTATCATCAAACTTGCGACTCCCATGAGAAGTGAATCATGGCCGATTGACAGGTTCACTGCAGTGTGTGTGCATGCTGATAAGTGCAAGTTTGGAATTGATAGTGTTTTGACCAACAGCTGGTGGTTTGAACGTGGCTGCAGGCACGGAATAGAATTGTCGTCGAGATGACGAGCTTGAACGGAATAATGGTGGCGCCATCCGGCGACAGTGCCTCGAACGGTGTTCCGTTTGTGGAGGCCATGGGTGGAGCGCTTTGGGTGGATGTTTTGAAGGCATCTCTGGAGCACAGACTTGCACCCAGATCATGGACCGACTACCTCTACCTCACCGTTGGCGGCACTCTATCGAATGCTGGAGTTAGCGGACAGACTTTCCGCCATGGCCCGGAAGTCAGCAACGTCTTGCAGCTCGAAGTAGTCACAGGTACATATTTGCACCAGCTTTCAATTCATCACCCTCTAGAAAGTAGCTCAATGAACGTATTTTTTTCTCCAGAACATAGGCCTTCAAATGTCTTTGGAATTAAAGGTCGGTCATGTCCTCTATATTGCACCCAATTGTGCAATACTTATCCTGCACCATGGCATTAATTTATGTGTATTGGATTGTTTTGCGGTTACAGGCAAGGGAGAGGTGGTACAATGCACGCCTACTGAAAACTCGGAGCTCTTCTTCACAGTGTTGGGAGGCTTGGGCCAGTTCGGCATCATCACCAAGGCTCGCATCCTGCTGGAGAAAGCCCCACAGAGGGTTCGCTGGATGCGAGCACTATACACCGACTTTGCCACCTTCAAGAGAGACCAGGAACTGCTCATTGGTTCTGCAGTCACCAAGTCATTCGACTACGTGGAGGGCTTTGTGGTGGTGAACAATGAGAACGTCATCAATGGGTGGGGCTCAGTGCCATTCGTCCGCAGCGAGGTCTCTGAGGCCATGATTCCCTCTTCAGCCGGCCCCATCATGTACTGCTTGGAGGTGACCAAGGCCTACTCAACAGCCGACCTTCAGAAACTGGACGATGTGGTGGAGAGCATGCTCGCTCCACTGAGCTTCCACCGCGAGCTGCTGTTCAAAACCGACACAACCTACTTCAAGTTTCTCGACCGCGTGCATGAATTGGAGACGCAGTTGAGGTCCAGAGGATTGTGGGAGATTCCTCACCCCTGGCTCAACATCTTCGTGCCCGCCTCGGCTATCGACCGCTTCGACATGCTGGTGTTCAAGCGCCTTGTCACGCACGAGTTCAATGGCCCCATCCTTGTCTACCCCGTAAATAAATCCCAGTGGGACAAGAGGCTGTCCGTGGCGATACCTGAGAGTCCCGAGGAAATCTTCTACATTGTGGCCTTCTTGCGCAACAAGCTCCCCGACGCACATGGCGGCCCTTCCCTGTCGTCCATGCTGGAGGACAACGAGAAGATCCTGCGCATCTGTGAGCCTCTGCAATGCAAGCAGTATTTACCCCATTACCAGGACCGTAGCCGGTGGAAGCGCCACTTCGGGATCAAATGGGAAACCTTCGTGCAGAACAAGCAGGCGTTTGATCCCAACGTCATTCTATCTTCCAGCCAGAACATCTTCTCCCGTCGCCGAGGTAGCAAGTTTTCCATTGCAAACATCGCTCATGGCCAGTCACAAGACGAGTGAGATGTCTTCAGGACGATGCCACAAATTCCAAATTCAACATTTAGATTAGGTCTAGTTTGTACCCTGATCAAGAGCTTTAACCTCAACTTCGAACAAGTGCTCGGAGCGAAGGGTTAATCAATTTATTGCTAATTCGTAGAGCGATTGGCGCCAACCTTAGGTTCATCAACAGCCGAAATGCCGTAGATAGCGCGCAGACAACATTCAAGGTGAAAGGATTGTAAATAATCAAAGGTATGATCCTCAGAGTTGGTAAATTTCAAGCTGAAGGAGTGGCAGTGCTGGCTAAGCTGAGGGAAGAACTTTCACCTCACGGGAATTGATATTATCCTGATGGCTGGCATTGCCTGTCAGCAACATATGTGAGGGTGTGATGACATTATGTGCTTGATCCGAATTTAGATTGAACATAACAAGTTTGATGATGATCTCTAAGCCTGGTCTAAATTGAGGGATTCAGAGGTAGTGAAGATTCACATTGCTGACTTTATTCCTTTGAGAAGTCAATTTGAGGACTTGGAGTTTAGGGGATTTGTTTTTCTTGTCAATCAACTTGACTCTCTATTTGTGAATACTCTTGTCAGTGTATTAAGAAAACGTAACCAATTATATAATACTTCATTCAAAACTGTTATTGCAACAAAGTAAACAGGACCCGATGTTCTCAACTATAAGCAAAGGGAGAAGAAACAATTCTGTAAGCCATATCAAAAATTTGTTACTGCGATCATTGGCACTGTCTCCAGAATTATTTCAGTGGAATGCCTTTTTAGCATAGAATGGAGTTTTCCACACAAGAAAGAAGCCCTTCTCCATGCCTTGCTTGAATGGAAGATTTTTCATCAATTTGCAAAATAAATCACAAAAGCAAACTGCAATGAACTGCTCTACAGTCAATCCTAACACTGAAATGGTGCCCAGATGGAAAATTTGGGAGGTACTCAAAGGTACCCGAATGCACACTCTGATGATAACTTCTGCTTTGTGTGTAGCGTTGGACAATCTGCCAAATTTACAAAACAATGATGCGTTACAGATACAGGTTAACTACGGGATTGGCAAGTGAATGAAATGCATTAACATAGCATTGTGGACCGAACTCTGATGTACATACTAGTACTGAGTGCACCCATATAAAAGTGAAGGCGTTGTGGCAGTTTGGTACCAGCTCCTGACTCTTGCACACACTTCCCAGTAATGTTTTGTTACAGATTAAGACGTTTCCTTCTCAGGCCCACGGTAAGGAGCACTTCAATTCAATCACCAAAGGTGTTCTATGAGTGAAGTCTCTGTTTGCGTCTACTTTAGTGAATCACTTTATAGTCCTTCCAAACCAAAGCAAGCGGGAAATATTTTCCAAAAAAATTGGGCCGGTGATTGAATGTTTGCTCTGTCAACACACCAACAGACTGGACGAGAGGATGGTTTTATGTACAGTACCAGACGAGAAGATAAGGATAAGATGAGCTGCAAGCCTTCCGAGTGCGTTCTTGGCTAGCCATGAAAAAGATTCGATGACTCCTCCACATCAGACCCAGTATCTCACTTGAATTGGCTGCAGCAACTACCAACTTTATTTTCTGACTTCATAGGCGATAATTACAGTAGGTAAGAAACCATGCGGCGGTCAATCATATCTATGAGAAAGTTCACAATTAGGGAATTATATTCTGGTTGTAACTTCAGTGTCATATATTCAAAGGACCTAAATCCGTAAATTCCTTCCGCTACTTGGCGTGGATGTTCAAGTACGTGGGGTCTGACAACACCCCGGACGGCGTCGTCTGCGTCCAGTACTTGATGTAATAAACCAACCTTGACCCCCATCCTCTAGAGACTTGTTGAAATGTACTCCGGGGTACAATAAGCGCTGATTCAACTGCTCAAACCATCAAGAAATGCGTGCCTGCGCGTCGGCACCGGAATTCCTGTGGACTAACTGCTGCTGAACACGCCTCCGCTCTCGATCAAGACCACTACAACCTACCCCTTGCCTCTGTACACTTACAGCGAACGCGCTCTGGTTGTGACAGTTACTGTGGTTCCACTCGGCTGCTTCAGTTCCGACAGCGTACCTAACTAAGGGGTCCAGGTGGGCATCGGACCATGACTGGAGTTCCTCGCAAAGAATGCTTGGATTGAGCTCCTGAACCAGAATCCGTATGCCACTGTGATTAGCACGATGTGCGCGGGGCCAATTGACACTGTTAACTGTACAACCAGAGCGACGATTTCGTAGAGGGAAGTCTTGGCAGTCAACCTGGTTCAGGTGGAAGCTGTCGCACCCTGCTGGTACAGGCAGTTTGCTCAGCCAGCGACAGCCTGTTAGGTCTGCGATCAGGTTCATGTTGGGTGTGCGACCTGGCTAGTCAGATTTGCCGGAGTTCTTCAGATACTAGTAGTCTGAAACCAACTCCTTGGAAGACATCTTTGGAGGTTTCAGGTTGCCCATATACTGCTCGGCAATCTCGAGCAGGTGGGGAACTCAAACAGTCGGTATGAACTAGTTTAATAGAGCAGGAAGACAGCAGATTCCCTGCTCTCAGTGTTAATGAAGTGGCGGAAGATGCCACGACCCGATTTCCATTGAAATGGTGAGTGCTTTATCACTCTGGGGACAAACTTCTCAGACCGGGCTTGAATTCATCACCACCCTTACTGCTACTGCTTCTCCGAGGTGCTTCCCCAGCCTCTCCCGTCGCTCCATGAGCCCTAGAGCTGAGAGCTGACGATTCAGCAGGCGTATGATACAGAAACTTCTTGAGCAAATGAGAAGTAGTGGAATAGTATGTTGCACAATGGCCAACTTGGTTGTGTGAGTTCCAGTGCTTTTGAGTGAAAAAGGAGCTCGCCACTGCCCTAGACTTGCATGCTCGACGAGAAAGCCTCAACCAAATCACAAAATAATTGGTTGCATAGCTCGGTCCATCGAAATGCGTCGTTGTTACCTGCCGAAGCCAACGATGCAGGCACCTGCAGCAGAACTTACAACATAGTTGTATGTAGTAATATTACAGCCATTGGAGGGAGTGTTTCGAATCTCACCATACTCTAAAACAATTGAATAAGGGGTTTGGGGTAAAGCTCATAACATTTCAACCGATCGCACCCCATAAGACTACGAAGGTGAACAAATTTGATAAGATTAAGTCGTCTCGCTGGCTGAAGTTGAAGCTAGACCAGTGGAGAAAAGTGATGCAAACTCGCATGGGTTGCATCAAGAGTGGCTACGCACTTGTATGCAGTTCTAGTTTTGATGACGACTGAATTGGCTCAAAACATCGCAGCGCATGCGAGTTGTGCAGCTGACAATAAACTTAAAATAGACATTTAAAACCTGAACTTTGCTCCACTTCTACCCATTAAATTCCGAAGCATGAGCTTCAGGTGAAATCTAGTTGCAATTAGAGAAAAGTCAGGGAGTGGGACTGGCCTGTTTTTTGTGGTCCAACCTTGGCTGATGTTCAAATAAGACAAAATTCCTACTTTCAGCGCCAAAATTTGCAGTACCTTTCCAAGAAAAGGTCGAGTATTGAGCTGGACTGCACATGCAGCATGAATTTACTTTCGAATTCCTCTACTTCCTGTTATATCCGATTCTTCACGGAAGCGGCGTCTTAATGAAGCGATTTCATGATCTTGGATTTTCATAAAGTTGTTGAGAAAACCCTTTCCTCGAGATAATCACAACATAGTTGATCATGGAACTCCATGAGTATGGTTACCTGCTGGTCCGCTAGATTTCCTCATCGAAGACTATCATGTCTTCTCACCACTCTGTCTGCATAATCTCACCGCTGATGAGGAAATCGCACGGACTTCAAATGGACCTTCAACAACTGTGTTTTCGAAGCCCCTGCAAATCCTTCAGATTGCTCTTGGGACATTGAGGTCATGTGACATGGATACGGTGAGTTGGCAAGCACCAAGTGCTCTATGTGCTTGACTCACTCACTGACACCATTGTCATCAATATGTAGTTTATGGCCCATAACTAGTCTGCATTTCGCAGACTGGCACCTCCTTCCAGAAACTAAATCTAAGATATATATTGCAAACAACCAGTATTTAACACATCACACTGACATTAAGTTACAGTGGCTCGTAAAGCAACGCATAAGCATGGCTGTGCATTGTTGGACTTTCATTATTGAACAGCTGAACGTGGGTCATGCGCTGAGCCGATGGTTATCTACCGTTCACTGTTTTAAGAATGTCGGAGATCCAGGGCATGCGAAATCTAACATCAAAGCTCCAAGTTTTCGGTACACTGAGAATACGATCAACCAGTGAACAGACAACCGCTTTCCTGATCAGCATCCACTGTTCCATAAGCTTGAAACCAATTTCGGAAACAAACTCATCGACATGTTCAGTTCATCACTACAAAATTCCCATATTCAAAAGGTTACCACTGTGTCGTACATATATATTTATTTGAAACGTAAGAGGTTGTACACCTTTGCTGATTGATGTATATGAAAAGGAGTTATAATTCATATATTGTACTATACATACATAAGTGGTGTAATGGAAATATCATGTAAAGGAAATATCTTCAGTGAAAATAGTTGGTTTCCTTTTCGTAACCATAGTTGGTCTTGTACTTTTGAGGTTTTCTGACTTTTTTTTTTTTTTTTTTTTTTTTTTTTGTAATGTCTTCCTATAACAATCTCTACCTTTGTTCAGTCAATCAGCTCATGCCAGATAGTTCTATCCGTCTTCTCGTTAGACCAATTTTCTTGCTTAAAAATAAAACTGCTTCATTAATTTCAAATAGTCAAAGAATAAGAGCCTACACTTAAATGTCAAAGAATCTTTATTTTTTCTAATAGACAAGAATATCACCATCTTCATCCATTTTGGTAAGCATAGTTTCTGAAATGGATGAAGGTAATACTTACAAAATCATTAGAAACTTAGTGCGACCGTTAGGCCAGGTTGCTGTAGTCAGACATACGTCTAACATCCATTTGGATGGATATGTTGTCAGTATATATGCTATGATCATAAGATTGTGCAACAATCAAGTGTCTATTGAAATCAGACAGCACATATCAAAGAAAAAAGGAGATCTAGATTTGAAATTTCGCGGCCGAGCGCTCTCTGAGCTGTTCAATGTGACCCTGCTCTTTTTCGAGTGAGAGGTTGTTGTTATGATGGGTGGCGTGTGCCGAGTGAGAAGTACCCATCCATCGATTATAGTCGTATTCGCTGAGGTGTTGGGCAGTGGCAGCGTAAATTTCCTGGGCTACAAGTGAGCCCCGGAAGTCGTGTGTCCTTCGTGTTGTATTAACTATTCGGGGTAGGTCGTCTTGAGTGTAAGGTGTCGGGTCCAATCTGCCTCGTATCTCCTTTTCCGTGGCCTCAATTAATTTTGTGCGTGGGGGAGTGCACTGGTGAGGGGGGAGCAATGACCACTTTGGGTGCAGTAACAGCCACAGTAGCATCGATCTCCCTACGAAGGTCTTCTCGTAGAAACTGGGCCGATCGAGGGCTCGACCGCCTTATGAGAACGTTAATTGGTAATTGAGGCCGCCGGATGCCAACTC